TTTTTTTTTTTTTTAAAGATGACCGGTAAGGGGATCTTAACCCTTGACTTGGTGTTGTCAGCACCACGCTCTCCCAAGTGAGGGAACCGGCCATCCCTGAAAGAAAGGCAGCGAAACCCGGTCTGACGGTTCACCAGAGAAATTCCGTTTATTTAAAGACTGCGCCTCTATTTACAGAGAGCCGCGTTCTGGGACTGGGTAGGAAGTGGACGGGGCGGTAGCTGATTGGACAGGATTGGACTGGGGTGTGTCCCGATTTGTGAAAGGTTGGATTCTGGCGCCGTGGGGATCTTTTGCCGCCTGGCAGGATCGCTTACAGCGGAGAAGAACCCGGAAGGGCGTCATATTGCTAGGGACTGTCTCCTGTCGAGTGCCCATGGGATTCCCACAATCCCTATATAGGGATCCGAACCCGTGGCCTTGGTGTTATCAGCACCACACTCTCCCAAGTGAGCCACAGGCCGGCCCACTTCCCTTCTCTATGCTGCTTCTTTTTATCTCTTCCAGAGACTCCTTTAGTTAATTATGAAGATTTGCATTTTTTAAGGTTAGGCTTAGGAATTCTATGACTTTATATTGTAAACAAACTGGCAATATGGAGCTCAATTTTACTGGCAGGAATGGAGAAAAGAATGAAATAGGATTATTATTATTATTATTTTGGCAGCTGGCTGGTAAGGGGATAGGATTCTTAATAGTAAAATAAGAAGCATACAAGCGCCACTCTTCCCAAATGACTATATGCCTTCCTAGAAAAATCAAAGATCTATAAAACAAGCCTCCCCTGATGACTTTTCTATGCCATCTGGCCCCCTCAAAGGGTCTGGCACCTAGTAGATATTCAATAAATGTTAAAAAACTGAATGGGAAAAACATTCTGTCAGTGCTACCTCCGAATATCTCTGAGCTCAGCAAACAGAGCCCCTAGAACCTATTTTTTTTTTTTTTTTTTTTTAAAGATGACCGGTAAGGGGATCTTAACCCTTGACTTGGTGATGTCAGCACCACGCTCACCCAGTGAGCGAACCGGCCATCCCTATGTGGGATCCGAACCCGGGACCTTAGGTGTTAAATCAGCACCGCACTCTCCCGAGTGAGCCACGGGCCGGCCCAACCCCTAGAACCTATTTAATGCTCCTTTTCCCTTTATTTCTCCTCTTACTTCTTCGCCATGGGTATTGTCAACTATACTAAAGATACGGGCCGGCCCTTGGGTCACTCAGGAGAGTGCGGTGCTGATAACACCAAGGCCCCGGGTTCGGATCCTGTATAGGGATGGCCGGTTCGCTCACTGGGTGAGCGTGGTGCTGACAACACCAAGTCAAGGGTTAAGATCCCCTTACCGGTCATCTTTAAAAAAAAAAAAAAAAAAAAAAAAAGATAGGAGGTCACTTTCCCAGGACATATTTCAAAATCTTCCTTAGCATAGGGGAATTTAATGGTTTCTGAAATCTTTGTGATAGACTTTTTTTTTATTTTGCCACAGTATACGTCCTTGTACACAAATGCATAAGTATTGGTACTTTAATTTCTGTGGGATAATTTCTCAAAAGTGGGTCTGCTGAGTTAAAGGGTTGATATAATTCTAATTTTAATAGATATTGCTGATTAACTTTTCTTAAAGTTGCAGCAATTCCCATTCTTAAGTGTTGCTTGGAAGTGCATGTTTCTGGAATCTTCTCCATTATTTGATTTTATTGATTTTATTTTATTTTATTTTTTTACCAATCTGAGAGGCATAAAACCACATGTAATTGTTTTAATTTTTATTTCCTGATGTTGATGATGTTATTTTTCCATATTCTGAGATACAAATTTAATTTTTTGTCCAGCTTTTAGCCAACTATGCAAGGACTAACTTATTCTCTTCTATACAGCACCATTTCCCCGTTGAATCTAGTTGTGAATTTTCCATTCTGTTGATTTATGTGTCATTTCCTGTGCATGTACAATATTGTATTCATTACTGAAGCCTTCTTTTAAGTTTTAATTCTTTGTAAGACAAGTCCCTCCTCACTATTTTTATTCAGAAATACTCTTAGCTATTTTCAATTCTTCTATTCAAACTTTAAATTTTTTTAATTTTAGAATTAGAACTGTATTCATATAGTTCAAAATAATGTATATGAGCCCATATATATACACACAGAGTAAACACCCCCCAAAATGGATTGTAACTTCTGTTAGCTTCTTGTCTATACCTCCTAAATTCTTTATGCAAAACAAAAATATATTCTTGATAACCCTAATCCTACCAGTCCTCAAAATACAGCACACTATATACACAGTTCTGCACCTTGCATTTTTCACTTAGTATATTGTGGAGATCTTTCCAAATCAGTGTACAGACAGCTAACCCATTCCTTTTTACAGCTTTATAGTGTTCCACTGCATGTACCATAATTTATTTAACCAACCTTCCATTGACAGACATTTGAGTTGTTTCCAATCTTTTATTACAAAAAAAAAAACAAAAAGCTGAAATGACCAACCTCTTACGTAAGTCATTTTATACCTGTGCAATTGTATCTGTTGAATAAATTCCCAGAAGTGTGAGAGCTGGGTAAAAGTAAACGCCTTTGTAACTTTTATAGATATTGCCAAGTTTCCCTCCTTAGGGTTGGACTTGTTTTCAGTCCTACCAGTAATACATGTAAAATTAATGTTTCCTCACAGACTTACCAACACACTGGGTTGTTGAAGTTTTAGATATTTGCTCCATTATTTAACAGTTCCAGAAAACAAAAACTATAACCCACTCGAGATTCTGATGGGAATAGCATGACATTTATAAACTCATTTGAGACACTCTTTTGTGATATTATGTTTTTATATTAAGTCTTCCAACCAGAAAATACATAAGCCTTCATTTAATTTTTGTGTATTTTATTTTTTATTTCTAGTGTTACCATTTAAATTTTTTACCTAGGGCCGGCCCGTGGCTCACTCGGGAGAGTGCGGTGCTGATAACACCAAGGCCACGGGTTCGGATCCCATATAGGGATGGCCGGTTAGATCACTGGCTGAGCGTGGTGCTGACAACACCAAGTCAAGGGTTAAGATCCCCTTACCGGTCATCTTTAAAAAATAAATAAATAAATAAATAATTTTTTTACCTAGATATCGATTCATTTCGGGATTACTTTTTTGTTTCTACATCTAATCAGAAGTTGTTAGTGCAGAAAAAGGTAATTTTCAAAACCTAAGGATAATAGAGATGAGGGGATAGGGAAGGAGGGGGGTTGGGAAGTGATAGGTCTGGTAAAGGGCATAAAGAAATATCAAGATTTGTAAGAACGAATATGTTAATAATAAATTTAAAATTTTTTAAAAAATTTCATGTATTCCTCTTCTATCCAGCACCTTAATTATCTCAGTTATTAATTTTGGCATTGTTTCCCCGCTAGGCAGGTAAGAATGAACAAGATGAGACGGGCTCTACTTTCCTCCAGCTGATAACGCTGAAAGGCGAAATGGAAAATGAACAAGAGACAAGAGAAACATCTTACTCTACTGAAGAGAATTACAATGGCGTCCAATGACACATAGTACCAACTGCCTACGTAAGACAAGGTAGTCAGGGCAGCCCGGCCTCTCGGAGGAAGTGACACTGAGGCTAAGTGCTGGACGGAAAGCACTTCCCTCTCATATGAACAACATGCAGAGTGGGTGACTTTCTGCCAGGATCCTTTGGCCATTCCTTCCTAGACGTCCTGTTCTAAACGCCTCCCGATCCTTTCCTCCCTGCCTCACCACTTCCTGCCATCGCCTCTGCGGCCTTCTGCGGCGGCGCAAGACCCTGCCCAATCGAAAACACCTCACCGCTGAGAGGGGCAGGGATTGGTCCCATCTTCCTGAGGCCTCCGGGGAGGGGCGGGGCTTACAGTAGCTTATCTGTACGTATCGGCGGGGCGGTCCCAAGGCCGACGGAAGTGCTCTGTGTTGTTGCCGGAAGTGGGAAGAGAAAAGTTGTGATGGCGGCTGCGACTGAAGCCGAGGAGGTGAGTGCCATGGGCACTTCCCAGGGGGTTTTGTGGGTGAGGGTTCCGAGGGGAGGTAGGGGCGAGAGGTGGAGGCGAAGCCTGGGTTCTGGGCCAGGGAGGTGCAGACATTGTGGGGTTAGGGCGGCGGTGGAGGCCTTCTGACGGGCGGGGACTCGGCTTGAGCCTTCCGGGGAGAAGCCGAGCCGGCCCCACCTCAAGCCGCTCATCTTCGCCACAGGTGCCAGTTGGTAGCGTGGAGGAGGGGTCTGACCGGGCGGCGGAGGAACTGGCCGCCCAGAAGCGCGAACAGAGACTGCGCAAATTCCGGGAGCTACATCTGAAGCGGGTGAGTAATCCGCGAGGCCAGCTCAGACCTGTCCCCTGGCCAGGTCCGTGCGCGTTTGTAGAGGGACGAGGAAGATGCACCAGTGCGCTTGACAGACCCTCCGAGCTGGATCGTCCCCCGAGATGAAAGATCTATCCCGGTGGTTCTCAACGCTGGCAGCGCACTGGAATCACTTTGAGAACTTAAAAAAGCACATTTGCTCGCTCCATCTCCTCTCTACCCACATCTGATTTAATTTATGTGGGCTAGATTCGGGAGACCTAAATGCCACTGTAGTATGACTCCCCCACTTTGCAAAACCTTGTTCCTATCCAACCCAAAGAGCTAAACGGAAGCAAAGCTGATATTAACCCGTAGGGCAAACAGCAAAACAGTGCAACCCAACACATTTTTTTCTCAATATATGCAAATGGAGACTTTATTAGGCTGTTCCCTTGCTTAACATCCTTTGATGGTTCTCTACTGCTTTTAGGATAAAATGGGGTTACCTTGTTTATGTGTTCTACCTGATGCTCCTCCAAGGAGGCAAGATCATTTGGATTTTTTTTCGTGTTTCAGCTGACTAACTTTTTGGGTTATGGTTTTAGAATGAAGCTCGTAAATTGAATCACCAGGAAGTTGTGGAAGAAGATAAAAGGCTTAAGTTACCTGCAAACTGGGAAGCCAAAAAAGCTCGTTTGGAATGGGAACTACAGGAAGAACAAAAGAAAAAGGTGGGGAACTACTCTGTTCTCTTCATAAGTGATTTATTCGGTCATTCTCTTGCATTGAGACAGTAGAACATGATGGTTGAGTTCTCTGGCTTTGGAGCCAAACTGCCAGAGTTCACATCTTGGCTCTGCTTTTTACTAGTGCTGCAAAACTTTGAGAGAATTATTTAACCTGTGTTTAATCTCTCCACCTGTGTTTTCTCATCTATATGATGAGGACTGTAATAATAATTTGAGTTAATCATGAGTTAAAAAAGTTATGCATGTAAAACATTTAGAACAGGACCTGACAGCTGATAAACACCCAATATGTGTTGTATGCTTTCTTCTTATATACCATAGCAGATTTCCAAATTTTCTTGAAATATTAATCATTATTTTTAAAGTAGTGCTTCATATCTGTATTGGATCTTTCTTGATTTAAAATAGATCAAATCATTGCTTGTATCATAATTGTAGGTACCAGCTTTTTTCTTTTTTTTAAGGAATGTGCAGCAAGAGGGGAAGACTATGAGAAAATGAAGTTGCTAGAGATCAGTGCAGAAGATGCAGAAAGATGGGAGAGGAAAAAGAAGAGGAAAAACCCTGATCTGGGATTTTCTGGTAAAATTGACCTTTATTGAACAAGCCTGTTAGGTAAACATTGCCTTCACTGTTTTTGGATTTTAGAAAGGATGTGCTCCTCATGCTTCCTTCATGGAGTATTCTCCGAGAGGCCTAAACCCAAGAAAAATACAAAATGTCTCATAGGGCCGAAGTCAAAAGGCTGCACTTCAGTCAGCTGGATTCTTTTATTCTTTGTGGTAAAATTAATCAAAGTCTGCTTATCAGCATCTTCGGCGTAGAAGCTGTGCTTAGATTAGTGTCTTGTGCTTATATTACTTAGTAATAATTTTGATTTTTCTTTGAATAGTAATGCCCAAACAAGGTAATATATCATCTCTGATTCCCACTTTATTTTTAGATTATGCTGCTGCCCAGTTACGCCAATATCATCGGTTGACTAAGCAGATCAAACCTAACATGGAAGTGTATGAGACGCTGAGAGAAAAACAGTAAGTTGACAGGTTTAATGTAAGTCTTTTTTTCATCCTGAAGCAATATGGATATGTTTGTGTGTGTGAATACACATACACATAACCGCCTCTGCTTGGTTCATTGGAACACTTATTCTATTTTATAGTATGAAGTGTTTCCCGACTGTAGAATCACAATAAAGCCAAATGAGGTTTAAATTAAATTTGCTGTAGGGCCGGCCCAGTGGCTCACTCGGGAGAGTGCGGTGCTGATGGCACCAAGGCCCCGGGTTCGGATCCCATATAGGGAGGGCCGGTTCGCTCACTGGCTGAGCATGGTGCTGACAGCACCAAGTCAAGGGTTAAGATCCCCTTACCGGTCATCTTTTAAAAAAAAAAAACTATTTTCAAAGACTTGGTGGACTGTAGTTTGCAGACTTCTGTTTTAATGGAAAGAGAAATAACCTAAGCTTGGAAGTTCTAATCCCAACTCTGTTTGTAACACTTTGTGACCCTTTATAAGTCCTTTAACCTCTGACCGTTGGCGCTTTCATCTATAGAATGAAGGTGTTGGAGTAGGTGATTTCCTAGGTCCTTTCTAATTCTGTATTTTCTTTCTTTTTTTTTTTTTTTTTTAAATTTAAGGTAGGATCCCACAGTAAATACATGTATATATTTTATCTTTCATCATGAGTGGAAGTTTAGTTTGACATTTGAAAATGGAGCACTTATAGTGTTACTGTAAGTCCATTTTCTGTCTTTTCAGTGGAGAAGAGTTTTTCCCAACATCCAACAGTCTTCTTCATGGAACACATGTGCCTTCCACAGAGGAAATTGATAGGATGGTCATAGATCTGGAAAAACAGTAAGTACTCAATAGAGCAGCCTGAAATTTTAAACTGTTAATGACAAAATAGACTTAGAATGTGCATCTAAGTCTAATGTGCTTTGAATGAATTGAATAGACGAAAATTATACTCGTAATTGCTCATTTCTGGCCTAATATCTATGGTAGTTTTGGGGATAGACAGCAAGTATGGGTTGAGTCCATATGATTTGGAATTGTGAAGCAAAATATTGATGAAATTGAGTTGTTATAATTGAAGAGGAGAGGTCTAAAGAAAATTATTCTTCCTTTAAGGCTTTTACTTTAATAGTCATTCCATTCTCTGATCAGAAGAAGCAAGATGTTTTAATAAATGTACAGTGTACTTCAGTTATATTTGTGTTTCTTAACACTGACAGAGATGAATGTTAGGTAGAGCAGAATTAATTTATATCTATGTGTATATATATATACACACACACCCTTTTTTTTTTTTTTTTTAAAGATGACTGGTAAGGGGATCCCAACCCTTGACTTGGGTGTTGTCAGCCCCCCACGCTCTCCCAAGTGAGCCAACCAGCCATCCTATATAGGGATCTGAACCCATGGCCTTGGTGTTATCAGCACTGCACTCTCCCAAGTGAGCCACGGGCCGGCCCTCCACACACACAGTTTTTTTGGTGGCTGGCTGGTACAGGGTTCTGAAACCTTGACCTTGGTGTTATCAGTACCATGCTCTAATTAACTGAGCTAATCGGACAGCCCAAATTTATGTTTTACTAGTTAATTCATGTATTAAGAATAATGTCTGTGCACTCAGTATTAGCTGTGGCTATTATTAATATAATTATTATTGTAGTAATTATTTATTTATTTTTTTTTTTCCTTTTTGTCTTTTTTACTGTCCGGTAACGGGATCGCAACCCTCGGTGTTTGTTGCGCCTGCACCATGCTCAGCCAGTGAGCGGGAACCGGTCTCTGTGTAGTAATTATTTTAAGTAATACTTCATGTGTCCAGTTCCTAATGATGTATTGTTGCTGTTTTAGAAGCATGCTGATTTAGTATGTACTGAATTTCATGGTTTATACCTGGGGTTTTACTGTTAATTAGCAGTTTCTACTTGAACTTGATGAAAACTGGGTTCCCTCCCCCTACCCCAAAGTGTGCAATTCTACATGTACTGATTATATTCTTAACTATTTGGCCATGTTTTATTAAGATGAGAAAAGAAGGCAATTTTGAATTTTGTAAATTATTTTCTTCTTCCCTCAGAATTGAAAAACGAGACAAATATAGCCGGAGACGTCCTTATAATGATGATGCGGATATTGACTACATTAATGAAAGGAATGCCAAATTCAACAAGAAAGCAGAAAGATTCTATGGGAAATATACAGCTGAAATTAAACAGAATTTGGAAAGAGGAACAGCTGTTTAATTCCATCAGGAACTGTTTTTAGAAGTTTGAGAATGGAGTGAAAATTTCTGCTAGCAAATTGAAGTTCTCTTAAATTTTATTAGTTAACCAGAACTTAGTCTATACCTTCCCACTCAGCATTTAGAAATAAAAATGTTTTTTCTTAAACATATACTTCCATGTATATTTCCGCATTTTTTGCACTTGGATATAAGAAGTATTTCTTGTAGTGAAGTTGTTTTGTAAAAATCTACTTTGTATAAATTCTAATTATATTATTTTTCTATGTATTTTGAATGTGTATGACTGTTTAATCTTTGAAGCATTTTGGGCTTAAGATTGCTGGCAGCATGCATAAATGCAGTCACTATTGCTTTGAATATTGTTATGAATTTGGAAAAATCTAGAGCTGGACTTTTTTTTTTGGTCCCTTTTGAGACCGGCCGCACCGCGCTCAGCCAGTGAGCGCTGTGAGCGCACCGGTCATCCCTATATAGGATCCGAACACACAGCGGGAGCACTGCTGCGCTCCCAGCGCCACACTCTCCCGAATGCTCCATGGGCTCGGCCCTAGAGCTGGACTTGGGAACTGAAGCTGTGGACAGTGAAGATGGCAGTGGCTACTAAAGGGATGGTACAGTCTCTCCCCAGAGCTGCGTATGACCAAGTTCAGGGAGTAGCAGAACTATCCTGCCATGACTATTGACCATGTACAGTTCTTTTTTTCCGAAAAACAATAAAATGCTTTGGAATAGAATTTGCTAACACTTTGTCATTTAAAAGAAATATTTGATTGTACACATTTGTATATACACATGCAAACGTGCATGCTGCCATTCTTCAAATTTAAAAAAAAGTTTATGGGACATTTCAAACATTCGAAAGAAGACAGAATAATACAGTGATAGAGCGCAGCCTTGTAACACCCAAGGTCAAAGATTCAGATCCCCATACCAGCTGGCTGCCCCCCCCCCAAAATAATTCGATGAATCCCATATACTCAATACCCATTTTCAACAATCATTAACTCATAGCTAGTCTTTTTCATCTTTGTTTCTATCCACTTTGTCCTCCATGACTCCTATGTTATTTTGAAGCAAATACATGGTGTACAATTTCATTTATAAATATTTCAGTATATATCTTTGAAGGATAAATACTTAAAAAGTGGCCACAGTACATTTTTTTTTTCTTTTTTGTGGGCATCTGGCTGGTATAGGGATCTGAACCCTTGACCTTGGTGTTATAACGCTGCACTTTAACCAACTGAGCTAACCAGCTGGACCCTTTTATTTTTTGTGGTGGCTGGCCAGTACTGTATGGGGATCCAATCCCTTGACCTTGGTGTTATTAGCACCATGGTCTAACCAAGTGAGCTAACCAGCCAGCCCCACAATACTATTATCACAACAATAGTTTTATTTTCATAAAAGTCCAGAGAGATTATTATAATTGTTTCTAAATGTTGATTAAATGCTAAACACCTAATTAGGACATTGCAAATTAAGGGAAATCTGAAATTCAAAAAACTTCACGAATACTTTGGTGTCTAAAGACAACACCACTGGTGATTAATTATCCTCTTTTTAAATTAATCAGCACCGTACTCTCCCAGCCCTAATGCAGCACCTTTTTATTTCCTCTCCTAGCACTTTATTTTTTTCCTCCTGGTGGTGGGTTGGTACAGGGAACTGAACCCTTAACCTTGGTGTTAAAAGGCTGTGCTCTAACCAGTTGAACTAACTGGCCAGGCGCCTTCTCTTAGAACTTCTTTGTGTGGTTAAATCACATGTCTGTTACAAGGCCTTGATGCCTCCGAAGCTATACTGAATATGTTTCAATCTTTCTATTCCCATTTCCACTACCTTAGTTCAAGTTCTTCTTTGATCCTGAATATTGCAATACAATAAAATAGAATTTAAAAAACTTCAAAATATTTTCAAATAGAATCTGGCAATGTATTTAAAAGAAAAGAACAGTTCACTATAACTCAGCAGGGTTCATTCTTAGAATGCAAAAGCGGCTTGTTGTAGGCTGTG